CCTCCCCCTTCACCAATTCTATTCGGAATTTAATTTTTCAAAATCAAAAGAAATAAATAAAGTTAAATCTAAACTAAAATTCCTTTGGCGTGTTTTCTTTGTAAAAGAAAAAAGAGATAAATTAAACTACACCTGGTATTATTTAAATTTCAAAATTATTTGATCCAACTGTTTTGATAATTGGAATATTGACTTAAAGTCACTTGTGTTTTTTATTGAAGTTTCAATAATAACAAAAAAGTAATGCATATAAGTTCCATGCATATAGAGTAAAAACCCTCTGTATAATTTGAAGATCCTTGAATAAGGTTCAAAAAATTGTTATATTTTCTTAGTATATGTTATCTGAACTGATACCTGTAGGTTGTGAATATAATTTAGTATTCTTTCATTGTGCTATTTGATTTTTTCTTAAAGCCTTCATTGTTACCATATAAAAACTGATAGGTAAACTTAAAATGTGTTAATTGTATCCACCATATTAAATCCCGGCTTTAAGGGGATCCCGTTGTGCCTACTACGTTCCCACATAAATAACACATTCCTATAGAATTACAATAAACTAGACTGATGACCCGTACAATTAACGTTCTAAAACGACAGCTAGATTAGTCAGGTTGATAACTTATAATTTGATCCAATGATAAATTTGATGTGAAATGATGTGTATTTTTGATATATTTTGAGCTCTACCTAATATATTAGAGGGAAAATTATTATTAACTAAAATCTCTAATACAGTCGAACTTGGATAATTCGAACCCCAAGGGACCATAAAAAAATTCGAATTATCCAAAAATTCGAATTAAAGATGTTTTGAATAAAGGCTTAAGGCTTCTAGGGACCAAGAAAATATTCGAATTAAAGAGGTTTTCGAATTAAAGAAGTTCGAATTATCCAAGTTCTACTGTATATATCCTCAATGTATATATATATGAAGAGCGCACTACCACCCCCTGACTGAACTAATTTAATATTAGTGATACAACAGCGTTTGCTTCAGATAAATATATTTGAAAAAAAAAAAGTTTCACCATTTCAGGTTCTATTGCTAAAGATGACAAGACAGTTATTTGAAATTTTATTGGGACACTTTTAAATAATAGATCAAGGGCCTTTCTTGTTCCAAAATCTCTTCATTAGGTACCGCTCAAAAAGAGAGCAACCTAGTTTAAGATATTTGCAACAAAAAATGAATAATATGTGAAGGTTATTCACATATTAATCAAAATGTTAACGCGGGAATCGGTACCGGTTCATGACTGTCGCGAATCGAGGGTGTGACCCACATATCCACCGACACTTATCAATGGCCTAATCGATTCAAATATGTAGAGAACTTGAATTAAAATAAGTGCTTATTCTGAAACATTAAGGTTAATTTGTGAATAACTATATATTGAAATATAATTATTCACTCGCACATAGATTTTTAAATGATATAATAAAATGTATTGATGAAATCTTTAAAACACTTGGTTGAATCAGATAGGTTTTGGCACAAAATCTCGAAGGGATTTGAAAAAAAAAACTAAAATTTATTCCTTCGAACTTCGAAAAATAAAGTTATCTTTCTTTAATATTAGTCTCGACTCTCAACATGATCGGAGTTGTAATCGTGCATAGCAGACCTTTCAAATAAACCTCGATCAAAAGAGTTAGATAATTCATATAATATTAATCTAATTTGTCGTCGATATATTATTTGGATAATCCAAGTTCCTGCAGAACACATTCCATTGCTTAAAATGGCCCAATGAAAACGCCGTAATAATTGTATTATCATCATGAGTAATCAAGTGGAGAGTTCAAATTATCCCAAATAGAAGAAAGCTTCAAAAAATTATGAAAAAGACATCCTCTGATGGGAAAACTGAAAGGGGCTGACGACTTGCGACATCAGACACCCGTTTATCAGAATATCAACGAATAGTTTATTTTGAATATCCTAAGTCTTTCACATATACCTGAATAATATATTTAGAACCTAATTTTTAAATATTAATGATGGTCGACTTGCTTTGTTTTCTCGAATCAGGCGCGTCGCATATCGGTTATACGTAGATATGCCTTGTTCTACACATATATCGGGGAAAATGGAGTTTCGGGTAAATGGGACCATTAGCCGCTACGACCCGGGTTCGGATCCCGCATTGGGCACTTTTTTCTTATTAAAAAAAAATCCTCCAATGGCTCCTGATCCTTGCAAAAGTCCAACCCCACCAGCGAGTGCAAGTAACCAAACGGGGCTCTGGCACATTTGTAAGTGCGAAGTCGAACTGTTTTTCACATGTAAAGAAATGTGGTGCACTTACAGTTAAAGCAGTCGCCACCAAGAATATCATGGCCTGTACCACGTGTACTATGGATAAGCAAAAAATTTAAAAACCGTGAAATTGTAAAGGTTTTCCCTTTTTGAAACATTTCAACAACCTGGAATAAGATAGTTCGAAGTACAAATTGCTTGACAAATTGCTATGACATTCAGCTGAATATGATGAAATATTGAACATGAAATTACAGTTAAGTGGACTTCATTAAATGCCATTAGGATGAGACAAAATAGTTATAATAGAAAACTACTAACGCCAAACTCGATATATATTTTAGAAACATAAAAAGAGGAAGGTAACATGATTTCTTTGATTGAATGAGATTCTGCTTGGAGTTTTTATCTTATGAAAATATCAAATATTGATAGGGAAACAAAATACCGTAGATCATGGGTCGGCAAACTTTTGAGTCGGAAGAGTTAAAAATTCAGATTTACAAAATTTCAAAGTTTTTGAAGAGCCACAAATTTGTTTCTTGCCAACAAAAAATAGTACTCGCATAAATAATATTTGCGTATGGACTATATAAAGAGCCGCAGCCTTACATCCAAAGAGCCGCATGTGGCTCGAGAGCCGCAGTTTTCCGACCCCTGCCGTAGATATATGGAAATCTAATTTTCATATAGAAGCGGGTCTCTGTTCTCTTCAAAATAGTAACGAATGTCTTTAAACCTATCTATTCCAGATATATACCAGACTAGCAAAGCGTATACTTATTGTAAATTAAAAATCGAGCGAGCTTTCGAGGGAATAAACAGTTCTTAAACTGGCTTTTGATCGCTAAAACCAGTCAAAAATAATTTTGAAGTATAAAATATTTAGAATCCTATTTAAGAAACATTTAGTTCTATGTTCTCGTTTTTTTCCCTCTCTCTTTATCCTTGTTAATATCAAATTATTTTCTCTTTACGGCTTTAAAATATTGTAAATATATATAAATAGACAAATGTAAAGGCATACATGTATGACAGCGCAAGTTTTCCTAGGGGGACATAGCGCTTTAAATTGAAATAAATAAATAAATAGTCGCTCGAAAGATCGCATTTTTGTTTTTGTTAAAAAAAAACGCATTGCGATTCCAAGTTGTGATTTTTCTTTTTTGAACACTTTATTAAATTTGTGCTGACGTTTTGGCTATAGCTTATTTCATTTTTAAGGCTTATTATTAGAGGATTTTGATTAGTTTATATTTCTTTGGTGTTCTCTTTGATTCTAATAAATATTTTGGCTATGTCTCAGCGATACGAGCTCTATTGTTTGCGACTTTATTAATGTTACGCGGTTTATGAGTATTTCGGGTTTCATGACACCAACATGATAATTGTTTATTCTGCCGTGGCAGCTATTGGACGCGTAACACAAGGACACTCTGTGTGCATAGTTACGATTCTATGATGAAAGGGTGGTCTGAACCGTTGGGTTTAGACCGCTGCTACCCGGGATCGAATCCCGCATTGGGCACTTTTTTCTGATAAAAAGCATCAATGGCCCCCGATTCTCGCAAAAGTCCAACCTCACCAGCGAGTGCAAGTACCAAATAGGACTCTGGTTCACTTGTAAGTGTTCACTTACACTAAAAGTAGTCGCTAACTTCTACCAACCATGGCTTGTACCACGTGTACTAGAGATAATATAAAAAAATGATTATATAATAGAAAGAGGTCAAACAAAGATTTGTTTTAAGTTTTTCTAATCGAGAGAGAGAGAGAGATTTAAATATTATGTAAATATGGACACCAAAATAGACGATTTTGGCTGATGCCAGCGCCATCATGTATCATTTGTTTTTCAATTTTAAAATTTTGGAAAGAAATCCGACGTCACATCAATAATCAGCTTTTGTCATCTGACGTGGCGGTGATGAACCGAACCCTTCTTCTAAGCTATAAATTGTCATATAACATAGCAGTTGTTCTTCGTTTCTATACATTAAATAATTGCAAAAAAAAAATATTTTAAAATATTAAAAACAAAAATGCATATTTTTACCACTCACACGGGCATTTTAGATGGCAAAGCACCATTTAGTGGAACAAAATTCAATTAAACGTTGATATGGCTTGTTCCTTGATATTTGGCCAACTCAATTTCTTGATAAATCAATAAAAGTCAAACACGTACGCGTTTTGGGCTGTTGCCTCCGTTAGCGTGGTGCACGTTGTACTTCCACGACCAATATTTGTTCCTAGAGGCTTCCTGAGAAATCAAGAAATGGATATTTAAGTCCAATAATGTCTAAATAATTATCTATATATATATATATTCTTTTCACATTTCAATATATATTATAGCTTTCTATAAATATAATAACTGTTTATTTTGGATATTATATGAACTTATAGTCCAAATATTTTAAGGAGCAACTTACCTCAATTCATCGATGTTGTTTGTAATTCACACTAAATGCGCAGGAACCACATCTGATGAATAAATATAAGACACTTATATTAGATATTTATAAAACCTCTATTGTGTATAAAAACCCTATATAATCGGTTATTAGATCCCTAAGGTTGAAAATAATCGTTGTTTCTCCTTGGAATAGGTTTTGATTTTTCGTTGAAAAGAAACTCATGCGGATAATTTTCAAATGTCGTTTTACAATCACAAGCCGCATCATATGTATTATAAATTACTTTATGTATTTTTTACGAACGGGAAAAATATGTCCAGGGTAGCCTAGTGGACATGGCATCTGCCCGGTAAGCGGAACACTGTGGGTTCGATTCCCATCCTATGACACTTTTATTTTTCCGTTTATCATTACTCTTCACAATTCATCCGTTCATACCTCATCCCTAAGGTTGAAAATAATCGTTGTTTCTATTTGGAATAGGTTTTGAATTTTCGTTGAAAAGAAACTCATGCGGGATAATTTTCAAATGTCGTTTCACAATCACAAGCCGCATTATATTGTATTATAGATAACTATATCTTCAAAATATATTTCCGTAAAAAAATATGTTTTTATTATAAATATATTCGACGTAGCTTTTATTCCGAAGGTGAATAACTACGCTAAATATAATTTCCTCAATAATGAAATTCGTCGGTGGAACGCCAGTTTGAAGAAGTGATTATCATGATAATGGAATAAATTTTATGGTTGAAAACGTTGTTTTTGTGCCTGATTGGTAGGTGTTAAAGGATTTCTTTAGAATTTCTTAAATTGATATGTCATCTAATTCTTAGAAGTTTCGGATGAATAAGATATTTGGAGTTGATTTTTATTTTTTAAAGAAGCCCATTCGAACTTAATTCTCTAGAAGGTTTAAAATAAAAAGAAATCCAATATTGACTCTAAAAATTTAATAATAAAATTTCTTTAGAAATAGAGCAATCTATGTGTGTGTGTGATTAAATCCTTATACAATAAAAACACTAATACACTATACGTATGTATTGAGATTTAATGAATTTCTTTTCAAATACGGGTCTATACATCGACAAAGGAATGCGCTCAGCCGAACGAAACAATTGTATGATGCATTAGCACGCCATAAAAACACTAATACACTATACGTATGTATTGAGATTTAATGAATTTCTTTTCAAATACGGGTCTATACATCGACAAAGGAATGCGCTCAGCCGAACGAAACAATTGTATGATGCATTAGCACGCCATAAAAACACTAATACACTATACGTATGTATTGAGATTTAATGAATTTCTTTTCAAATACAGGTCTATACATCGACAAAGGAATGCGCTCAGCCGAACGAAACAATTGTATGATGCATTAGCACGCCATAAAAACACTAATACACTATACGTATGTATTGATATTTAATGAATTTCTTTTTCAAATACGGGTCTATACATCGACAAAGGAATGCCTTCAGCCGAATGAAACAATTGTATGATGCATTAGCACGCCATAAAAACACTAATACACTATACGTATGTATTGATATTTAATGAATTTCTTTTTCAAATACGGGTCTATACATCGACAAAGGAATGCGCTCAGCCGAATGAAACAATTGTATGGTGCATTAGCACGCCATAAAAACACTAATACACTATACGTATGTATTGATATTTAATGAATTTCTTTTTCAAATACGGGTCTATACATCGACAAAGGAATGCGCTCAGCCGAATGAAACAATTGTATGGTGCATTAGCACGCCATCTGTTATAATAAATTGAAACTATTATAGACACCAATGGTCATTTTTGAAATTTAAACAATTTTCTACTGCCCTTACTGCAATGATAAATTAATAGGAGGGTCTGGCACATCAGTGGTGAACCCTCCCAGGTAGATTAAACTAGAGAAACCGCTTGGAGGGTTTACCACTGATGAGCCAGGCCTTCCCATTACTTTATCATTGCAGGAAGGGCAGTAGAAAATTGTGAAATATTAAAAAGAATCATACACGTTTATAATAGTTTCAATTTCTCATAAAAATAATTGCAATTAAATATATTTTAAATCCTTTATATTCCTTATTATAACCTAAATAATTCTTCTTACAAATACAGAAAAACACTGTTTATTCGATATATATCAAAGATATTTGCTTGAGATTAATATTAATACAGTAGAACCTCCCTTTAGCGGACACCTCTCCACAAAGAACAGTTTTCATTTGCAAAATTACCATTTTTACTATTTATCAACTCTCTGGTAAGGGGCCAAATCTCCCTAAAGGACACTTTGGCTCTGTAATTATGTGTCCTTTAGAAGGAGTTTCTACTGTATTACGAATCAATTATACATTATATACACGATACACCTACCTGGTCGGACCACTGTCCCCAAATGAGAACTTCAGTCAACCGATTCACCTGATGGCCAGAAGTCCTACCCATACCGTATATCACCGACAAAACAGGGAAATGCCTTCCTATCGGAATAGATATCTCTTTTTGGCGTGCCGACAATAATCCCGACTTAAAACTACAAGTTGTTAGATTAAATATATTCCAAGATCATAATCCACAACGTTCTCAATACTTGGATAGATATAACGGCGATCAGGGAGTCACAAATAAACCATAATATAATCATCTGTAGAACAGACATCATGATTCTGAACCAAGTTGACTACAAACAGAAGCTTCTCGAGATTGTTAAGAATAGAGAGATACCTTGGTACCTTCAGATAGCCTTCAATCTATTAAAATGTTCAAGAAAACTCTCATCCCTCCCTCACAAGAAATATAAACCAATCATTAAGAACAATTAAAAATATTTATTAACAATAATAACACCATACCGTATATTTACGGATTTCCCAAGATTCGCCAGACTTCAGTATCATTAAGACCAATAAATGCAAACCATTTCTCTTCCTACCATCCATCTTTCCAGATAACTGTTTACTCGTTTTTCAACGTTGATCCTCCAACTCTATTAGAAATACCTCAGCCTTAATTCAAGAAATAACAGCATTAAAGACACAACTTGATTTCATAATGTGTTCCAACATCGAAAAACCTACTGTTCAAGCAAATATGTGGTTCCTCTATGGGCCGTCCCCTGTCTAACATAGCAGCCGAACTTGTCATGAGCCCAACTTTTAATCGGTGGATAGGGAAACACATATAAATATATCTTAGAATAGAGGTTTGTAAAATATACTTGGGCGATATCTCCTATGTGTATGCTAATATAGAAGACGAACCTTTAATCTTACAGGTCCTAAATTCGTATCATACACGCCTTGCGTTTACAGTTGAAAATGAGTCCCATCAGGTTTAACCATATTTAGATATTTACATATATCATAATATATGAATCCTATCGCTCAGAAGTTCACTACAAAAAAAAGACAACATCCTATTTCTCTTTTGAATTTTATAGTTCAATAAGCCTCAAGGTCACGGTCATTAGAACTCGTACAAAAAGAACCATTAGCAATGCTCCAACCCACAGCCCTCTCAAAAGACTATAAAAGAAAACCATTAACCTAAACCTGATGTCAAGAGGCCACCCACTCTTCTTCACAGTCTCAGACATAGTATCAATCCCTTCTAGAAGGCCAAACCTATAGAAACGTGTGCAATGCCTTACTCCGTTAAAAATATATCAATAACCCATACCTTGAAAGAATGTTGGAATCTGAGCCTTCCTTTTTAACTAATACTAAATAGACCAAATTCTCCGGAACTCCATCGCCAGTTCCAACATCAACAAGTGAAACTGGTCTTTTAAAGTATATATAATAGAATTATACTTAACACAATGCTGTAATGGAGATGCATGGAGACATCTGAAGCTCTTCATTGGACACGACAATAACAATTTAAGATAATAGAAATTTTGTATGCGAGCAATTATTTTAATAATACGAATTTATTTGTTGTTTTACATAATTTTATTCGCCCGTGTAAAAGCAAAAGTGTCCCTAGGGGGACATAGCGCTTAAAATTGAAATAAAATAACAAAATTCAATCGAATTTATGATAAATATCAACTATGCCATTAACTTATCTTCTTAGTACAAATCTGTCGATAAAATGCAATTCAACCCTTTACCTTCCCTTGGACTTATTTATACTGTTAAAAACTACAAATGTTATAGTCTTAATTTGTCACTATATACAGTGTGGCAAATTATTTTTAAGAATGGGTTTGTAAAATAAAACATAAACAAGCTAATTCAATTTCTACTATTTTTTTATTCAAAATAATCCCCTCTGGATTCAATACATATGTTACAACGATTTAATAAGGAATTAAATGCCTCTTGCAGGCCACTTTGAGGAATCGCCTCCAAAGTGCTCGTCGCAGCTCTCTGGATGGTCGGGATATCATAAAAAAAACAACCTTTTAACTTCAATTTTATTTTGGAAATATATAAAAGTCACATGGTGCTAAATAAAGCGAGTACGGAGGATGATTCAACACACAGACGTTATTTTTGGCCAAAAAGCGACGAACAATGAGTGAGGAGTGACTCAGTGCATTATCATGCAGCAAACACCAACTGTCTTCATCGCGATATTCTGGACGAATGCGACGAATTCTGGCAATCAAACGTTTCAAAAAGTTTAAATAATACTCTCCAGTAATGGTTTGTCCAGCGGGAACAAATTCTTTGTGGATAATACCTCTACTATCGAAAATCATTGTTTTCAACAAATTCTCGCACCTTTTCTATACTTTCTGGTGTCTTTGAAGAACTTGGTCGTCCAGTATGCTTATCATCTTCTAGCGTATTTCTTCCATCCGAAAAACGTTTGTGCCAAGTGAAAACATTTGATTTACTCAAACATAACGTACCATAAACTTGCTTCATCAAAATATATGTTTCCGATGCACTTCTACCAAGTTTTGCATTAAATTTAATGACCGCTCTCTGTTCCATCTCAGAATTCCGACGAACAAAAAATTTTACTTTTCAAAAATCGCCTGTATGTTTTCAAAGAGTTAGCCAAAATGGCTGAAACAAAGCCACGCGCTAGATAAGGCTTCGAATATATATACGCATGCGCAATTTCATAACTGGCTCTGCTATTGGCCTTTATCTAGCGCGAGTCTTAAAAATTATTTGCCGCACTGTATATATGTGAATCTTCAAATATTAAAAAAATAAGGCTTGTTTTGATTTAATAAGTATTATTAATCCAATATTTCGATGGACCAATCGTCCATCTTTTACGAGGTTTTTATTATGAAGCACACAGCAGGTCGCGCGCTTCAGGTGAGCCACGGACGTCTTACAAGCTTATTGGGCGATGAAACCATCTATGATATACATTCTAAACAAAAGTAAATAGCTACCAG